GGTAGTAGGCTGCCCCTATTGCCCGGTTGAGAACAACTTCCGTAGAAGACCTCCGGCAGTTAGAAAAATTAAAAAATAAAGATAAAAATCCAATGTATGTATAAATAAATTAATTAATAAATACATAGTTGAATAGTCATCATATGCAGTTTTCATACGTGCGTCTGTAATGGGAAGTAATCCCTGCAAATAAGTCACTGTGTAAAAATCTTTGCATATAGACAATAACGTAATTCCCGGCTAAATTTAGAAAGAGAAAATATGAAGAGAATGATACACAAAAGTCATCGATAGCAAGTTATGAGAAGTAATAAAGTCAAATGGGTTAAAACCTAAACTAAAGCAACTCTACTCTGCTACCCTAATTCTAATCCTTCATAAATTCCAATGACAGAAATGAATAAAAAGTAGAAGTCATGGAAATTACTACAGAGGCATTAAAAAGAAGACAGAGATGCTACACCTTATGGCTTTGACCCACAACTACTCGGCTACCCTGGTCTTAAGTCTCCATAATTTCCTATCAGAGGTCATGTCCTCGGTAAGGGCTAAATCCTTCAAATCTGATCTCAAGCACTCTAACCACTTCCTCCTTGGTCGTCCTCTCCTTCTGGCACCCTCGACAGTAATCGACTCTACCCTCCTGACCGCATCCGACGGTTGTCGCCTAAGGACATGCCCAAACCACCGTAGTCTTCCCTCCCTCAATTTTTCGGATACAGTCACCACCCTCAAGGACATCCTAATTGCAGAGTTTGGTGTCATGTCCCACAGAGTCCTACCACATGCCCATCGAAGCATTCTCATTTCTGCGGCCTCCATCCTCCTTATGTGATCCTTCTTGATTGCCCAACATTCTGATCCATACAGCAGCGCTGATCTAATTTCCATTCTATAAAATTTTCCCTTAAGTTTTAGAGGCACCTTCTTGTCACATAAAACTCCTGTAGCAACCCTCCACTTTAGCCATCCCGCCTTTATACGTTGTGTAACGTCATCATCTACACTCCCATCTTTATGTATCATAGACCCTAGGTACTTGAAATAATCCTTTGAGGGTAGAACATGTCCTTCGATGCATACTTCTACATCTTCATAGGTTTGGTTCCCACTGAAGTTTGAACATATATACTCTGTCTTTTCAATATTGATCCTTAGACCTTTTTCTTCCAAAGCAGTCTTCCAGGTAGCCAATCTACTATTCAGCTCAGTTTTTGTTTCAGCAACTAGGACAATGTCGTCAGTGAAAAGCATACACCATGGGACACTGTCTGGTATCGCACAATAAATGTCGTCCATAATCAAGGCGAAGATGTAAGGGCTAAGAGTCGACCCCTAGTGGAGTCCGATTTCCACCGGGAATGCATCAGTGTCACCAACTGTAGTCCTGACGCATGTAGTAGATCTACAGTACATATCACGAATCACCCGTATATAAGCAGATGGTATCTATCTCGTTTCTAAGGTCTTCCAGATCGTATCACGGGGAACGCTATCATATCCCTTCTCAAGGTCAATGAACGCCATGTGAAGATCTCTATTTTTTTCTCTATATTTGTCCATAAGCCGTCTAAGTAGATGAATCGTATCCGTAGTAGACCTGTCTGGCATAAAACCAAATTTATTTTTCGAAACCCTAGTAACTTGTCTCAACCTAGCCTGATTGATAAGAATTCAAAAATAGTGGTCAAAGTGAAAAGGGATTATAATTGGGTGACACTGGTATAGTTGACCCTTTTTTATGTCCGCAAGGTTAATTTGAATTATTCAAAACAAAGATCGTGGGAAGAAAAAAACGTAGGGATTTTAACCCACTGAATCTCGACTCTGACTCCAGCTTGAAAAATGATTCCATTCAATCCAATTAGATTTCTGTTATAAGGAACTTAAAAAAATTGTTATGAGGAAAAGGGCACTACAAGAATACTCACCTTATTTATAGAAATGGTCACTTGTGCAGTAACTAACATCCAAGAAAATTACTGAAGAATGCCTCCCAGCAACCTGTTCAACTATTGAATCGCTTATTTCGCTTCCTGGCAGCCGTAAAGTCTGAAGAGATTTGGCACTAGAAGTAGGGAAGAATGAGTAAATAATAGCAGCAATAATCAAATTCACAATATCCACAATCGAGTTGCTAAATAAAACGGAATGTGACCATTATGCGCTGACAGTAGAATTCGATTCAGATTCTTTAGAATCTTTACGGCTATGATTGTTATTATTCCTTAATCTATTAGTAAGATACTTAACATACAGATCTTCAATAAAATCACAGCCAAAAATGAAAAATATAAGCAGGTTCATCCAACCATGTATTAGTTTTTGGCCTAGTGTTGGTTGCCTTGGCTAATAAATGGCAGCATTTTCCCATTAAATCTAGTGTTCTTCAGTTCTTCGATAAATTTCATGCAAAGGGATATGAACAGATAATGTAATTGAAAGACATGTTCGTACTTATCCTCGATGAACGAAAAGCTCTCATCATTAGCTAGACCGGTAACACAGAGATTTTTGAGTGAACCTGAGCTTCTAGTTATCAGTATTCGAAGCATCCGGTCGAGGGTTACGGTTCGGCACTGGTGGCTCCATTGTTCAATGTCAATGTCCCACCAACATTACGGTCCTGTAAGCGCCCTCTGCCACGATTTGCAGACCCTCGGGACAATAGTAAGTATTTCCTGAAGTGAAAGATTCTTGAAAATCAGCCCCAAGGCATCCGGAATCAATTCATCCCAGCATCTGAAATCGCCATTATCTTCCATCAAATCCATGTTTCCCTTCCAGCTAAAGCATAACTAAATATGAATCTGCAAGCAGTTAACAAATATAACTAAAATAGAACGATAACATAAGCTGATTGACAATTAGAACAATATGAAACTGGGGCCTCAATAATTACCAATTGAAGTGCTAATCAGTAACTTTTTTTAGTAAAAAAACATTTTTGAACATAGAATGATGTTTCAAAATCAATAAAATCCGAGTTTCCTATTGAAAGAGGCCAGCTTTGAACAGAAACATGAGGTCTTATGGTAAGAAATATGACCCCTATTCAGCGCCTTTAATTACACGTGTTACCCTTTAATTGGTGAAAACTAAATATATTAAATTAAAATAAATTAAATCCTCTAATCGAGTGGCGACACGTTTCATGATATTTTGCACTACTGACATGTGGTATGATCTGATTCGAAGATTAAATTTACTTTAATTTATTAAAATTAATATCAAATTGATAGAATATATAAGTAACATTGACCAAATGTATAATTATATCAATTTTATTAATTGTCACATCAACACTTCCGTTAATTGTTAACAATCAGTGGCCTGATTTAATACATTTAAATAGTTGGGTGACTGGATTGACAATAATTTAAAAATAATGGTCAAAATGAAAAGAAATTATAATTGGGTGGTCACTGATATAATTTATTTTTTTATGTCTGCAAGGTTAATTTGAATTAATCATAACAAAGATCGTGAGAAAAAAAACGTTGGCATTTTAGCCCATTGAATCTCACTCTGACCCCAGCTTGAAAAACAATTCTATTCAATCCAAATAGATTTTTGTTATAAGGAACTTAAAAAAAAGGATTTTTGTTATAAGGAAAAGGGTACTACAAGAATAGTCACCTTGTTTAGTGTTGTTTACTTTTGTTATGAGGAATTTAGATCAGATTTCAGCAAATTAAATCTCTTCAATGCACGATCTTTTTTTTAATTTCTCAGCTTTCGACAGTACTTTGTCCTGAATATCCAATAGCGAGCCAAATTTCTACTGCTTTCTATTTAACCTATGACAATCCAAAGACCTTAGACCGTAAGAAGATGGCTTAGGCTGCCAATGATTGGCATATCTATTAGAAACAGGAACCCCAAAGCTCTCGTCAAAGCCTTTGTCTGAAAGTCCAACACAAGGCACAATGGCTACTGCGGACGCATTGCTTTGAAAAACCGCTCGGCAATCCAAATTTGTTGCCATGTGCACCTCATAGGATAATCAAAATTTTATTACCCAAGAGCAGTAAACTGCAACAAAACAATATAGTAAGAAATACAAAGATCACCCAAACTATACCCCATTGGTTACAAAGAAAAATGTTAACATTGTCTATTCTACTTATTGTTCTTCCCCTTAGATGAAACCCAACAATTTCCTTGATAGTTTTGAACATTTCTTCGACAGTAGAAGAATGACTTTGGAAAAGTATCTTGTTTTTTTCCTTCCATATGGGTAAATTAAGGCATTAGAAGAAACTTTCATAATGGTAGATAAAAGTGATTTTCCCTTCCAGAACACAATAGCCCAACCGAAGAGAGCATCCCAAGAAGGATGTCTAAACCGTAAGCCATTGAGAGAAAAAAGAGTAGACCATAGGGATGAGGCAACCGGGCATTCGAAGAATAAGTGATCTTTCGTTTCCATAGCAGTGCACAAAATATACAATGACAGTCATTAACAAGCCCCATTTTATAAAGTCTTTCTTTCGTAGGAAGTCTGTCAAGAAATGTCATCCATGCTATAAGACTATACTTAGGTATAAGAAGAGGGAACCAAAGCAAAGAGTGCCATTGCAATTTAGGATTTTTCACCCTAATTGAGATATGATAAAATTTGATCTCATAATCTTAAACGACTATCATATCTCAATCATCAATGATAACATCCAACTCAAATTGCCGTTATTTTTTTAACAGAAAAAGATGAGTTTGGAACATAATGAATAGTTAGATTACTATTTTATAACTTTTAATAGTCGGGAGACCAAATAAAGTAATATTATATAGTCGGAGGACCATTTGTGTACTTTACCCAAAATAAAATTACTATTAATAAAAGGAAGGGTAGTAGATTCTGATGGTGAATTGATTTTCGGTTCAATACTTATTGTTATAGGAATACCATAATGGAAATTGAACTCCGTCAACTTATTAAGCATACAACTTAGAATAAATCCAATGATCCAACATTAATACAAAAACCTCAACACCGGAAGACATTGTTATAGTATGTTCTTGATGAATTTATTAAGGTTATTGTAAGAAGTCCCTCCAACCTCGGTTGCTTCTTCAGCTTTCTTCTTCCATTCCAAAGCTTTGTTCTTCATTTTCTTCCCTTTATCCCCTTCCATCATCATCTTCACAATGCTTGTAACTTCATCACGCTTCACATCATTACTGATCTCCATTCCGATTCCCCATTGATTGCACAGATACAAACAATTCGTCGGCTGCTCATCGAAAAACGGCCAACAAATCACAGGCTTACCTCCACTGATACTCTCCAGTGTCGAATTCCAACCACAATGTGTAAGAAACGCTCCAACTGAAGGGTGAGAAAGCACTTGATCTTGATGGCACCAATTCACCATTAATCCCCTGTTTCCGATCTCTTTGTAATATTCTTCCGGCAAGATTTCAGGGCTCCCCATCACCATATCAGGCCTCACCACCCATAAAAACGGGTGCTTGCTGTTCGCAAGACCCCAAGCAAATTCCTGGAACAGTTGGTGTGTCATCACGGTTATGCTGCCATAGCTAACGAACACCACCGAGTTAGCTTGTCTCTCGTCAAGCCATTCGAGACACTCCGAGTCCTCTTTCCATAAGCTGGACCTGAGCAAGTCGTCTTGGCCGAGAGGAGTGAGCTTTTCGAGCAGCGAAAGGGGGCCTATGGTGTAAATGTTTGGGGACTTTGCGGCGATTGCCTGCAGCACTTCGTGTTCTAGCTCATCGAATGTGTTTAAAATGATTGCTGAAGATTTTAGACAATTTCGAGATTCTTCACTCATGAAATTCAACATTATGTCGGTTTGATTCGTTGTTCTTATCAATGTTGGGAAATCTTTGAGCCTCATGTTGCTCATACCAGGGACTCCGTGGACCAGTTTGTCCAGTGTGCCATCGTTGCTGAAGTTTTCATCTGCAGACACAGAGAAAATAACTTAGTTGATCGTGTGATTCTTCATTAATGAGGTAGAAAAGTGTACCTTTAAATGGAACAATGCCTCCTTTGATGAGTTCACTGAAATGCAAATATGCCATGAAACCGCAAGCCGAGGTGGTCCAAAACTGAGCTTCAGGTATGCCTAGTTCCTTAGCTGCTTTAATTGTGAAGCTCATGGAACCATCTGAAATAATACAGCTCACAGGTGGGCAATCTGACGAACCATTTAGCTTAGCCAGCAACTCCCTAAATGGACTGGAGCAGTTTCTCTTAACCGAATCGGACAGAACCCATATGTCTTGGGTTGCATCACAGTCTGATGACGGCAACCCATCGGATATGGTCTCGAACCGAAAGTCGGACTGGCTGGTGAGAAATCCAGGACCCTTGGACCTCACTAGGCGCCTATGGTTAAATTCAGTGTTGACAAAGGTGATGTAGAAGCCTCTTGAATGTAAAAGCTTAGCTAACTGCATTAAAGGGTTTACATGGCCCTGAGCTGGGTATGGGACAAAAACTGCGTGAGGCTTAGTGATTGATCCCATGCTTAGAATGAACTCAACTCCCTAATTTGAGGCAGTATTTATAGAAGAGAACAGCAACTATATTACTCGGACTCGGGTGTAAATGTCGAGTATATATAGTACTAATATATTCAAGTTCATATCTTCGTACTCATCTTCGAATATGTATTGGGCAAAAGAATCTGCAATTCAACCTGGAGTTTTATGTTCAAAGTCAAAATACACGGCTGTCAAAATACACGGGTGCTAGTGAATTCGGTGGTCCACGTGGACAACAGATTTTGATTGAAAATTGGCAAGGGAAAATTACCAAATTTAGTACTTGTACTTTAGAGTATTTATAAAATTAGTCTTTAAGCTTCAACTATAAATACTTAACGCATCATAAATCAGTGGACTTGAATTCAATACATCATAAATTAGTGGACTTAGGTTCAACCTATTGTCGTAATCGGTTTTCGTCCGGGTACGAATTTCATTTGCGGAAAAGTAATGTGAATGAAATAAATAGCTTTTTTATTAAATGTTTTGGAGTCGCCATCGACCTTTAGGGTTAGGTAGGTCGAATACCTAAAAATCATCTTTTAAAACAGTTTTTAAGAAGAAAAAAAAACTATTTAAAAGAAAAATCGGTCTGCGTGTAACCAAAAATTCATTCTTTTTAGTAATAAAAAGATATTCGTGGTCGGTTACGTTTGGGGAATGATTAACACCCACAAAATCCTCGAAATTGGTACCATTCGATTATAAATTGTCTCTAGTAGTAGAATTTTAAGAATTCGAATATTAATTTAATTTATGATTTAGTTATTGCAGATTCAATCGAATAATTCTAAGGAAAAATCTATTAAAATATTTTTTATAAAATTAAAGTAAATATATATATATATATATATAAATATATATATATATAAGGTTTTATAACTGAAGTATTTATTTATTTAAAATTATCAGAAAAGGACATCTAGTTACTTTAAGGCAATCCGTTTCTTTAATATTAAAAAATAAATAAATATTAATAAGAATATGATAGTTTTTCCTTAAAAAATAATTTAAATAAAACTAAATTAAATATAATATTTTATTTATTTAAAAATATTAGAAAATGACATCTAGTTACTTTAAGACATCCCCTTTCTTAATATTAAAAAATAAATAAATATTATTATTTAATCAATTTGTGAAATTAATCAAATAATATTGTATTTCATGTAAATATTAGTGACTAAAATATAAATAAATAAATAAATAATTACAGTACTATATTTAAAGTGTTGAAAAATGTAAAAGAAAAATAGAAAATTAAAGTAATGAAATTAAATAAATAAAAAGTAAATGGCATCAATTAAATATAAAGTAAATGACTAAAATAAAATATATCAGAAAATTAAAAGATAGAATTAAGATGACTAGAATATAATAAAGTAAAGCATAGAGATCAAAATAAAAAAAATAACAGTGATTAGCTTATAAATAAAAATAGTGACCAAAATAAAAGAAAATAAAAATATAACAGTTAATATCGAAATAAAAAAAAAGAGAAATTACGGGACTAAAGTGTAAATATACACATAAATTGGAGGGATTAGTTCATGATTTTCCCTATTTTAAGTGACTAAAATATAAAAATACATTAAAGGTCCAGAGACCTTAGCGTGATTTACCCCTAAAACTGAATTAAACACTTCAGTGACCAATATGCGAAAATGCAACATAGATTAGAGTACTGAAGTGTAGTTTTCTCCTAAAAACAGATGGCATAATACAAAGGGGTACTAAAATAAGGGAGCCTCTGTGCGAATAACCCAAAAAATTTATAAACTTAAAACTCATCTTCTTCCTCTCTTTTTCATGCAGCAGACCACACCAAAGCCACCCAACTTATTCGGTCGGCCATCTCAAAAAACCCAAGGCTCCAACGCCGGCCACCGCTACGGTGTCCCACCCTAGCGTTCCAATCAACGACGGAAGTAAACTCCGACCAAGGACCAACAACGAGGTAAATCCAATCATATTGTTTTTTTAACTTGCTGCATTGTTTTTTTAAATAAAATATAAAACTAAAAAAACAAACGAAAAAAATTATGGAAGATAATAACCTTTCTATTTGTATTGATTTCCCAAATAGAATTGGGGAGAATGGAAGTCCCTGTTACACTGATTTTTTTTAGCTTAGAATCGGGGGAAGAGGAGGAGATATTTTTCTCCTGTTTTTTTGGGTTTTTATAACCCATATTACATGTGTAAAAAAAACTAGTATTTGTTGTTTTTTGATTTGCTAATGAAGATGTTGGGATGTGTAGCAAGGGAAACTGTGGGAGCTACCGACAACGTGGAATGAACCAACTATTGTTGCTGGAAGATACTGGATGGAGTGGGAACAGCTGTTGTTGCTAAAAGCTACTGAATATTGTTATGGTGGAGCTGTCGACATGGAGGGACAGCTGGTGTTCCTCTGGAAGCTGCTGGAACCGTTGGGTGGAGCTGCAATGTGGAGGGGGCTGCTGTTGAGGTAAAAATGGTGATTACATCTGCCCCTCTTTGCTCTTTGTTGTGGAACAAGAAGGGAGCAAAGATATAAAGTACCATTTTTAGCTTGAATTGTTCAAACTTCTGAGCTATAAGTTCTTCTCATTGTGAACTTTTCACTGGGATTGACGATCCACCTCCTTCTGTGATGGATTTGATTAAGAATGACAATATTGGTGTTGATCTATCTCCTTCTCTTTCTGTGATGGAATCTAGTAAAAGGTTGAACAAGTTATTCTCATTATGAACTTCTTCTTTATTTTCCTCTTCGGACGAATTATTCTTATTATGAACTCTTCCATTGAAAATGTTGATGTCTCTAGTGAGGTGTCATTAATTCAACTCCATATACGATAAATCAAGGTAAAGTTCAACAAGTTCTTCTCATTATGAACTTCTTCTTCCTCTTCAGATGAGCTCTTCTCATTTTGAACTCCTTTTGGAAATGTTGATGCTGGTCTATCTCCGTATGTGATGAATCGAGCAAAAGGTTGAATAAGTTATTCAGATTATGAACTTCTTATTCCTCTTCAGATGAGTTCTTCTTATTACGAACTCTTTCTAGAAATGTTTTAATAAAAATAATCTCAAGTGAGATAAATTGCTATTTCGAGTGAAATTTTCTCAAGCAATAAACAGTTTGTTTTAAGAAAAACAATCTCAAGTGAGATAAATTGTTATTTCAAGTGAAACTTTCTCAAGCGAGAAACAGTTTGTTTTAAGAAAAACAATCTCAACTGAGATAAATTGCTATTTCAAGTGAAACTTTCTCCAGCGAGAAACAGTTTGTTTTAAGAAAAACAATCTCAAGTTAGATAAATTGCTATTTCAAGTGAAATATTCTCAAGAGAAACAGTTTGTTTTAAGAAAAACAATCTCAAGTGAGATAAATTGCTATTTGAAAACATCCTGCACTGAAGGCCTTATGGATGGCCCGTAGGACTTACAAATTTGGGAAATAGTTTACTAAGTAAGAAACTTTGGAAATCGTTTTCTTACTATTTAACAATTTCATTTTCATAAAAGATTAAATGAGAAACTTTGGAGATTGTTTTTTCATTTTTCAAAATAAATTTTAGTTGGGTAACATGCCCCAACTTCAAAATAATGGTTCATTTGTGGATTGCATTCATCTATTATTCATATGTTTGCATGATTTCTATACTTGAGGCTTGAATTCTACCTTACACTTGTAAGGTATTTTCCATCATGAATCTTCTTTTTTCATATGAAAACGTGTAAAACTTCATGTTTGAATGCAATCAAATGTATCAATGTAATGCATTTTCTATTATGCAAATGATGTTCTTATGAATGCATGAATATGGAATCCTTCATTTGTCTTCAAATTGACAAGCTCGATCTTTCTTCACTTAGTCAAAATGTCATTTCAAGTTGGAATTCTCTTTTTTGGAAGAGCAATCTTTGTGTTTTTCTTTACTTCATTTGTATTTCAGTCTCGGAAGAAATGTTTCATTTATGAAACTATTGTCGTAATCAGAATTATGACCTTGATGCCCCCATTTTGTCTTTGATAACAACAGCTTTCTTTACTTGGACTTATATAGAAATCCAATAAAGCTTTCATCTTTGAAAAGATAATCTATCATCTTTGAAGAACGTAGATGTAGATATGCCAAACTCAGCAGAGATTAATTAGGAGAGCAGCGTATGTTCTGATTTGACTCTTGAAACACATAATAAGGATGATTTATCCTAATTCCTTTCATGTCTCCACATCTAATCAGATCTTGAACAAGTCAACTTGGACTATATCATGTCGAGATGTTTAACAACAACCTATTGTTCAATCTTAGTTGGCTCGACTAGTTTCTTGTTGATAAATTTTCAGTTTCCCTTCCGTGGAAAGAAATCATCATCATATCTAACTTCTAAACTTGGGGTTGAAGAAGTCAAACTTCATCTTGGGTCCATAAATGGAAATATCATATGATTGCAACATTGGTTCAACACCATAATCATTGGTTCGTAAAACATTTGACAACACATTCATCATTTCATGTGACTTTTGCACAGATGTTCATTAGTGAAGTTCTTTCATAGTGTTTGGAGTTTTTGTAGGACGTCACAAGGACACCTAAGAACAAAACTTAGTGGGAATACAAGTGGAACGCTTTGGCTTACCAGCATCAAATCACCAGAATAATGCAACTGTATGATTAACAAAGCAATTATGTATAGTCAGCTCCATTGTCACTGTTTCACCATTTTCATTCTTCATATCTTTCTATCTCATTGGAAATATTTTATCAAATTGATCTTTCTGCAAAATGATATAGGCCTTCAGCATACCCCAGTATTTATTGATATGAACGTTCAAAATGTGTCAATATTCCTATTTCTGATTGAAAAGGGTTTTCAGCATACCCCACATGGATCATTTTTGTCTGAAATGGGCCTTCAAAATGCCCCAACATTTGTTTCTTGCGAATATGAGCTTTCAAAAATGCCCAAATATTCGTATTGATGTAGGCCTTCAAAATGCCCTACATGGATCATTTCTGTCTGAAATGGGCTTTCGAGATGCCTCAATATTCTATTTCTGGTTCATTCTCAATGCCTGTTTGACTTGAATATCATAATCCCCACGAGATCCAATTTTGACAATGCACTGTT